GAGGCCAGCCGAATCTGGCTTCCTTTGGTGAAAAAAAATGGAGGGATTGACCAATCAGATGAGGCCCACGTGATGCCCCTGCCAACCTGTGATTGGTCAGGGCCATGCCAAGGGAAGCCAGCCGCCTCTTGCTTCCCTTCAGAGGCGGCTGGCGGCTGGCGATTTGATTGGACACTGCCATCCAATCAAATCACATCAACATCAGTTTTAATACTGTAACTGTCATCACCGCCGTTAGAAATTATCAAGCAAATGAAGCATTATGGAGGGTGGAGATTTGGCGTACTTAATCAAACATAACTTTACTAAACTTCCGCTACAGCAGCAACTAAAAATTAAATCAGATGACAGGCCAATGCCCGCACTCGAGCTGTGTGTACACAGAGGAAAAAGGGAGAGAATCGGACGTTCAATGAGGACAATTATGTCCGCACGGAGTGGCTAACTGGAAGCGCTAAACTTCAGCGTCTATTTTGCTGGCCATGTCTTCTTTTTGACAAGGATTCGTGCTCCCTGAACAATCCTTGGGCAACTTCAGGATTCATCGACCTTGCCAACCTGTCACGGGCAATTGAGAGGCACGGTAAATCCAAAAATCACATAGATTGTGTGATTGTCTGCATACATTAATAAGTAAAATGCTTAAATTAATAAGGAGAGAGTTTCAGCTGGAGAGTGCGTGCGGACCTGTCGGTTAGATAACAGGCGTGTGCAAGTCCTGCATCTGTGTGATACAAATGTGTGTCAATTGATACCGGGCGCTGTAATCACTCATCTGGTTACGTTATTGACCGCCCCCCGACCCAAAAAATGGGCTTCCCCTACATTTTTCCCCACGCCACGCTACTGTTAACAAGTGGAGGACAGAGGAGGCTCTTAAAGAAGAAGTTACAGGTCTGTGAGAGCCAGAAATCTTGTTTGTTTGTAGGTGACCAAATACTTATTTTACCGAGGAATTTACCAATTAATTCATTAAAAATCCTACAATGTGATTTCCTGGATTCTTTCCCCCCATTCTGTCTCTCATAGTTGAAGTGTACCTAGGATGAAAATTACAGGCCTCTCTCGTCTTTTTAAGTGGGAGAACTTGCACTATTGGTGGCTGACTAAATACTTGTTTGCCCCACTGTATATGGTTCATCAATGGTGGTAGTAGCATGCAGTGTATTGTTATTGTGGTAAATAAATATACTTTAGCCTCCCTTGAGTACAATTTGGAGGTTTTTGTCACCACCGTCAGACAGTATGTCACCACCGTCAGACTGTCGGTGGTGATGTCTGACGGTGGTGACAAAACCTACTCTTTTACATGATATGCATGAGTTGTTCACATTAGCCATCTTGTTTCCCCTCTGTTGCTAGCTACCTCAGACCTCGTCTTAAAAAGTATAAATTTATGTCATAATCTAATCTAATATTTTCTATACAAAAGAGACGGTGTTGACATGTTATGGTTGTGACAGTAGCAGTCAGATAACATTTTTACAAGTTTTAGAGAAAATAGCAAACTTACAGGAGCTTGAGTGATCTTGAAGCATGCAGTAAAGCTGAAGGTTTGAAAAGGGGGTCCTAAGGAATGTAGCTGACCTTGTAGTTGCCTGATTTTATTGCTTTTTATAAATATCTGACGGTGGTGACGAATATGTGGGACGCATTTTGAGCAACCACAAAATATTGGTAAATATTGTTCAAAATTCACTGTTTGTAGTTTTTAATACATATTACAATGTACTCTTTCATTTGGTAAGAATATTATTCTATTAAATTATTACTTTTTGTTTTTTTAATCAAGTTGAAATGATTATCTCCGATCCGAGGACAACTGATTTTGTAGGCAATGGGCCAGCATATCATTAAATTAATAAAAAATAAAACTAAAACTATGAAAGAACCATACATTTGTGCAAAAGACCCTTTGATTATAACCTTGATTCTTTTTATTCATGAAAATGTTATTCATTTCCAACAGAATTAGCACTTTTCTTAGTGGGACATGTTTTTGGCAAAGTTTCAAGAATCAGTGAGCTGCAAAAGCAGAACTTTTCTTAAAATGTGAATCCACCCTGAATCCTTACCAGAGGCTTGTACTACGAAGCCGGATTTTCGCTTAGCGAGGTAACTTCAGGGTAAACTCTGGGTTTCCGGTCCTACGACGCTGGTTCTCTTCTTACCGGAGTAGATCTCCATGGTAACTTATGCTGAACGGCCAGTGGCGGTTCTAGACCAATTTGACTGGGGGGGCCAGACTGGGGCCAGTTATTTTCTGAGGGGGGCACAATAAATGCAGGACGAGAAAGACAAAGACAGTATGAAGTAATTGCGCATAAGAAAACAATGCAATACAGTTATTGGTATTTGTTTCAGTGCACATATTTATTTCAGATACTTATAGTTACAGTTTTTACACTCTAATGCAGGGGTCTCCAACCTTTTTAAGGATGAGAGATACTTTCAAAAAATAAAACAAGTCATGAGCTACTTTTACTCCTCTTTTTATAGTTTTTTGCAGTGTATATAATTAGCACTTTTTAACATTATTATATGCTTACCTTTAACCTTCGTGTGCTGCCGTTCACAGGATAAGAGGTCAACTCAGTGAAAGCACCGCCTGCTGACCAATCAGAGCTCAGTGTGCAGAGTTTAAAGCTATCCAGTCATATTACAGGATAAAGGAAATACAGAAAAGCTGCCGTTGCAGGAAAGACGGCCGGCAAAAATCAACCGACTGTGAACGTGAACATTTATAGAATATCACCTCCCATCTTCAGAGCAATCTGACTAATATAACATTAGCGTTAAGAAAGCTTAATTAAATATCTGCCACAACATAAGTAACCGGATCAAAGTAACATTACGTATGCGGCACTGTGAGTGCAGACGTCGATGTGTCCCATTATCATTCATATCATATCACATCATAATGTATCATATATTTCCTTATCTGAGTCAGCTTCTTGAGCCGTATCTGGCCGTGCAACACTTACAGTGTCACATACTGTATGCAGAAGTATTATTTTTAAGCAACACATTAAGTTGACGAAACACTTGAGTCGAATGTAATTAAAGTCAGATCCACTCGTGTCTTAGACGGGGCAGTGATATCATAAACCTGTTAGTGTACGCATTCAAACACATTTTTCGCTGTATTCACCTTGCAGGTGCAGCTATGTGGCTTTTATCCTGGATAAAGTGTTTAAGTCATGGATGTTTAAAGTTTAACTTCTTCATATTTTGTCTAATATTATAGTTTTATTTTCATTCAGGAAGTATGACGCTGCACTGTCAGTACGCTTGTCCATGTTTGTGATTGGTCAAATGTTGCTAACCCTGCCCCTTTCATGTGAACGCACACTCAGCCGGACAGAGAAACCCTGGCTTGAGTTACCGAGTTGATAACCAGTGTCGTAGGACCGCTTAGCGAGATCGCGTTTGTTTTGGGTTAGTTAAGCCAGATAATTCAAACATATCCAGGTTATGTTGAACTGGATTCGTAGTACAGGCCTCAGATCTATTGTTGATGTTTTTTAGCTGAGGCTGAAAAACAAAATGTCCCTGAAGGAATCCTTGAGGTGTCTCATTTGTCTTTTCTTGTTTACTGGTCTGAGAGGATCCTTCCCTCCTCAAATTACTCCCCCAGATCACTGGAGAGAGTTCATGTAATGCCTAACATTATGAGTCATTTCCATGTGTTAAAAGTTGTATATTTTCTTTCAGTCACACTATTTTATGTGCAATTAGTTACATGTTGGGTTGGTGAAGCACCTGGAGATGCCTCAGTTTTTTTCTTTAAATCTGGATTCCCTGTGTTATTTGGAAACTGTGTTTACTCATTTGCCTGATCTGTATCACTTAGTAACATGCAATTCTCTCTTGAAATGGGCTTTATTTCTGTCATGAATACAGTAAGAGAAGTGACCTATTGTATCCCTCTTTTTTCTCAAGCAAACCATGGTTTATTTTAGTATCTTACTTGCTCAGAGTACTGTAATTGAGTGTCACGTTGCATTATGATCCCACACAGCCCCGATAAGTATTAATGCAGATGGTGGATCCATAACTGCATATACAGTAGTGTGCTGCTATACACAATCCGTTTCCTCTACACAATCAACATGTGTTTTTAATTGTCATATAAAGTGTTTTGACATCACAGTGAAGCTTTAGATTAAATGCAGGCCTGTTTGTGGTTCAGAATACCAACATGAAAAGACTGAACCAGACAGAAATGACTCACAGGGATGAAAAGCTTTCAGAACATTTTTATTTCAGGCTCAAACACAGCTACTGTGAGTGTTAAACTACAACAAATGGACCACTAACACAGTATCTTAATACAGCTGGTAAACTATTAGTAAATATGTTGAACATGGAGTATTTTGAATAACTAAACATCTTTGGGCATGACTTTCCATATTTCAGTATTTCATAATTGAGGTCAGTGGGGTTCAAACCCAGAGCTCTGCTATTTTACTATCCTGCATGCTGATGGAATAAGTTGCAGTTGGGAATGGAGTAACAAGTTATCCTGGAACAATTCATCTGTAACCATTTTGGTAATTGATAGTTTACATTGGTGCATTCTTGTATCTTTGTATTTATGTATTAAAGAGCATTGTCCACTGTCCTATTATATTACGTATGTATCATCTGTTTATTTTATTATACATAAGAGATGCATTCAAATTAGATACTATGGTTAATGGTCACATGATTGGTTGTGTTTTAGCCATGACTTCAACATGTGGTCACAGATTTTTATGGATGAATTTATTGTAACATAAATAGTTATATTTCCCGTGGGTTTATGTTTCAGGTAGTATATCCTTTCTGTTGTTAATGTTCATTTTATCAGACAGGGTTCTGACTGGCACTCGACTTCTATAAAAACCACTCGGTTATCCACTTTGATGGTTTTTTCCACTCTCCTGGTCCCTGCTGCAGCAACGATTACCTGACCACCCGACCTCAAAGTGTTGTCATTGTATCATTATGTGCGTTAGGTTTGGGATGAACCATGACGGGATGGGGAATGCCTGCGGGCCCCGCAGCCAGGAGACCGCCAAGCTGATGGCCGACCACATCACCATGAAGACCAACCCATTCATCTGGTCTGCCTGTAGCCGGGACTACATCACCAGCTTCCTGGAGTGAGTCAGCCTATCAGATATGTGCACCACCACAAATCATTTTGTAATCAGAGGTTTGAGAAATAAAAGAAAAAAGACTTGGTTGTCAGAGTAACATTTTCGATGGTCAGAAAAGACAGACACAGGTAGAAACATCAATTTCAATTTAATTATCTACTTTGTTTTTTTCTCATAATTCATAATCATCATAAATACAACAGTTCAATTATATTTAACTCTCCCTCCTTGTTGTCTGTGCTTTAGCTCAGGTATGGGCTCTTGTCTGAACAACGTCCCCCCGAAGCAGGAGTTTGTGTACCCCACAACAGCACCGGGTCAGGCCTACGACGCAGATGAACAGTGCCGCTTCCAGTACGGAGTCAGATCTCGACAATGTAAATATGCGGTAAGTGCTCTGGTATAGTTCCTTACTTTACATTAATGCTTGCTCTCAAGTCAGTGAAGAACAATATGTTTACCTATTGATCTTAAGCAAGTGTAAGGTCTAACACCATTTTAGTGCAATACTCTAAATTAGTCATGCACTGTAGAGATAATGAGATTTTTTTAAAACTCTTTATTTTTTTGACGATACAATTCTTCAGCCACCCAAGTCAAAGCACATCTTGAAGTCTTAATTCTAGACTACTGCAGTTGCTGTTTCAGTTTTTAAGACTGACTTTCATCACTTGTCCAATAGCCTTTGCCAGTTGTACCATTAAAAAGACCAGATGAAAGCTCTTTGATGTTTGATGATAAACATATGTATTCTTATTCTTTGTGATGGTACCAGGCTGACTTAATCCTTCTCTAATAAAGGATTTCATCTTAATTAAAGTTGTTTACCTTGCTTCTCACATCTTATTTGTATTCCTCCGCCTCTCTCCTTCAAGTTGGTCTCTTTGACATCGTGAAACTTCTTGGAATATATTTGTTGAATTGCATCCACTTTATTGCTTGGTCAACTTTTATGGTGCCAGATTCAGCGGGAATGGACATCTGGAACGGGGTGTATACAGCTTTATAGACTCATTACTATTGTTACTATATGGTCAGAGCATATGTACTCAATAAAACATATCCCATGTGTTATAGGCATCACTGTAGAGAGAGCAGGAGGAGGATGAGTGTGTCTGCTCTTGTGTCCTCATAATGAGCTTGTAAAGAAACACTCACTGACAAGTTTTCTCTCTTTTTCATGTTTTTATTCTTCTTTCACTCACACGCAGGAAGTCTGCAGTGAACTTTGGTGCATGAGCAAGAGCAACCGTTGCATCACCAGCAGCATCCCCGCTGCAGAGGGCACCATCTGTCAGACCAACACCATCGAGAAAGGGGTAAATACTTACATTATTATTTGAGGGCAGAAGGGGGCCTGTTGCCTGCACAAAGTGTACATGTAGGACAACTTTGCTTCTTTCTTTTACAGGGAAGTCTTTAGACAGCTTCTATTAACTATTAAACTAGTTTTTTCTTATATGCCAACAAACACTCAAATCTTAATTTAAAGACTTCAATAAAAGCCTTGAATGTACAATGGGAAAAAATAGGTATTAAGTACGGCACAATTCAAATAGCTTTATTCGTATGACCACAATGACATACAGCATCTCTGACACATCTTGGCGTGTTTTGTGTCTAAAGCATGATGACCCAAAAAATATAAACATGCTCAACCCTTTTTAAAAGAGAAAATATCTGTTTTAACAAAGTAAATACAACTGTTCTTAAAGTATCCTGTGTAGTATTAAATTTGCTTAACAAACTTTAAAATGTTCCTAACTTAATTGTTTACATGCGAAGTCCATGTACCTGAAGATATGTATAAAAAAATGTGTATTTGAATTGCAGTGGTGCTACAAAAGGGTGTGTGTGCTGTACGGGACTCGTCCGGAGGGCGTGGATGGGGGCTGGGGTCTGTGGTCGCCCTGGGAGGAGTGCAGTAGGACGTGTGGAGGAGGGGTCTCCTCATCCATCAGACACTGTGACAGCCCCAGGTAAGGCTCTCAACTGTGACCCCTCTCAAATGCTTTATCTTTGGGGTTTAAGATGAACTTGGATATATAGCGGATCTGTTGCCGATATGACATTGTCAAGTATCAACTTGAAAGTACTGATCCACATTCCAGACTGTTTGTAGTTCCTCTTGTTATGAAATACAATTAAAACCCTTTCTTGATATATATATAATTAAAAGTTTTGAGGAATCTTGGTTTAAACATGTGTTCACTTACGATTTAAGAAAAATACGTCACAATACAGCCTCATGCTACCTTGGAAATAGAAGAATGATCATTTACCTGCCAAAGGACACTTGAGAACTCAGATAAACCCACTTATTACTATAAACATATAAAATCACAGCACAAAGCTCCACGGCTCATATTAATTTACAGGCTACAGTGCCACTTTTTTTTGTGTATAAAACAACTCCGATGAGTCATCACCAAACCACTGGCAGACTTGCTTTCGAATCGCAGTCACTATATCCCTCATCTTGAATTGATTAAACTGAGAATAAATTGATTCAAATCTGAGGCCAACGGTTTTCTTTCTTATCATTTTTGAGAATCATTTGCACATTTGTTTTGGCTCCATTCGGTTCAATTTGCTGAAAGTTGAGCTGAGGTGCTGGCTCGAGATTTCTTCTCTGGCGTTTTAAAATATGTTTTTATGTAGAGGTGTTGTCGTGCCAGTCTGTAATAGACAATAAAGCAATAAAAGGTACAGACAGTGAGATTGAAAACACACTGATGCAGGCAGACAACGCAGGGATCAGGAGCCAGTGTTGTGTGGGGAAGTGATGGAGGTTAGAGCTTTTAAATTGTACTCAGATGTGACTGACTTTGTGTTTGGTTGTAGGCCAACTATCGGTGGAAAATATTGTCTGGGGGAGAGAAAGCGCTTCAGGTCCTGCAATATTGATGTGAGTATAGCTGCTCTTCATCGCCGTCATGGTCAACATACTATAATCTAAAACATGAATATAATTTATTCAATGTGTTTGTGTGTGGTACTTTGCATGGGACTCTGCTGCTTGCATGTGTTTTCACGTGTGTGTGTGTGTGTGTGTGTGTGTGTGTGTGTGTGTGTGTGTGTGTGTGTGTGTGTGTGTGTGTGTGTGTGTGTGTGTGTGTGTGTGTGTGTGTGTGTGTGTGTGTGTGTGTGTGTGTGTGTGTGTGTGTGTGTGTGTGTGTGTGTGTGTGTGTGTGTGTGTGTGTGGTGTGTGTGTGTGTGTGTGTGTGTGTGTGTGTGTGTGTGTGTGTGTGTGTGTGTGTGTGTGTGTGTGTGTGTGTGTGTGTGTGTGTGTGTGTGTGTGTGTGTGTGTGTGTGTGTGTGTGTGTGTGTGTGTGTGTGTGTGTGTGTGTGTGTGTGTGTGTGTGTGTGTGTGTGTGTGTGTGTGTGTGTGTGTGTGTGTGTGTGTGTGTGTGTTACAGGAATGCCCTGCAGGCTCTCGGGATTTCCGGGTTATTCAGTGCGCAGATTTTGACAGTGTTCCTTTCCGGGGAAAGTTTTACACCTGGAAGCCATACAGAGGGGGTGAGTAAGTAACTGTGTGTGTGTACCTCTTTGCCTTTAACATCTCCCTCTGCTCTATTGAGTGTTTTAAAGCTCATTGTTTGGGCTTTACATCCACCTTTTAAAATATAAGAGTTCAAGGGAAAATCTAAAGTAGTTTCAGTAGTAGGTTCACAATCAGATAAAACAGAAAGATTTGGGCTGAAAGCAAGGGTTGACGGGACACGATCAGCAGTCATGAGTTGGAAGGTGTGTGTGTGTACACGTTTGAGGGTGTTCATGGAGAGAGAGAGAGGTGAAAGTGAATTGAAGCTGCAGACTGCTTCTTGTCTGGCCTGCAGATGCTGGCTGCAGAGCGCCATGCATTCCCAAAATGCTTTGCGAGAATTCCTCGCTCCTGATGAGCACTGTGCTGGATGCGAAAGAGAAATAGCGACATAACTGCCTTTAATCTATCCCTCCAATAACCTAATGGCTTACAGAGATGGCCGGCCAGCAAAATCCAACTTCAGGCAACAAGTGCTCCTTTCATCAAGTCAGCTGATTTTACAATGGAAATCCCTTGCAGCTGTTAAAATAGGAACAGTGCCATAGACTCTGCCCTGCGTTAAGGCCATATCCCACCGCCCAGCCCCTCTGCAGCCCTCTCACTCTCCTCACATTCTCATGTCAGCTTACCTCCTTTCACTTTTACCCTCTCATTCCACGAAGACAGCTTCCTTTTCTTCTTCTTGCTTTTTGACTTTGTCCTTACTGCTCTGGTCTCTCCTCCTCTCACTTTATTTAGTTCACCATTATGCAATCTCTCTCTGGTGACATTGAGAACAGAGGCAGCCTTTCTCTCTCCGCTCACGCAGCCAAAGACAGTTCATTAAAAAAGGTCTGTTGTTTAAGCTGTTTTTTTTTAACAAACATGCTGTCACACATTGCTGTTCTCAGTCCAACAGCTTTTACGTTCAACCTTCACACTCCATAAAACACACCCTGCCGCGAGCCGCGCTTGCCCTGCCAAAGCTAGGCACCATGGGAATTGTAGTTTTCCATGGTCTGACCACTTCATCGTCTACAGGTCATCTCAGTACATTCTCTCTCTCCCTTTTTCTCCATTCCAGTACATATTGTACCTGCTACAGCGCTGTCAACAGCCACTCAAATAGTGGAGCTGTTGGAGAGCCGCACGGATGAATGAAGGATATATACAACATGGCCAGACAAGACCTCAGAGTGTGTTAGTGTGGGCGTGTGTGTGAGAAAATATGGTATAGTCTTGCAAGTGCAAATCACTCTTAACTGTGTGGGTTTGTGTTATGAATTGTGTTTAGTTATGGATATCCTTTGTCACAGAGCATTTACAAATCACTAGAGATCTGAAAAAACACAAATATAGTGATTTGTCTTCTATGATGGAACGTTTTAAATATCTTTGAACTGTTTGGAAATATAAGTACATATCATTTTGTATGGTTTGAAAACACAAGTTGTTTTAGTATGATGTGCTTTTTCACTGGTATGTATCATGTTGGACAATAACAAACATGACCTAAACATTATGGTGGTTACAAAATGATTTATAGATTCACATTTAGCTACTTGTTCTCTGTTGGTCAGCACTGGAAATTCGTTTTTGGTAAATTGGCCTTGCTGCAGAATTGAGTGCTGCCTTACTAACTTTTCTATCAGCCTCATTCAAATTCTGCTCTGTTTGGCATATTTTCAGTAGCTCAGACTAACTTTTTACAGGACTTCAGTGGGCTGTATACAAGATATTATTTGAAGTGCCTCAGAGAGATAGAGCCCATATACTGATGCTTTATCATTTACATACACGTCACCTCAAGTTTAATTTATAAGCTTTTCTGGACTTGAGTAACATTTAAATTATAACTATATGGAAATTGAAAGAGCAACATTTAAATGATAACTTCTTAAATCAAACTTACATTTTCAGCCTTATCAAAGGGATCTAAAAGTATCAAATATAATCTATTTTTCATTATGTTATAGTATTGGAGAACTGTCATTTGTCCTATACTGTATGCCTTTGCCCACATAAACCAGTGCACAACAAAGTGGGTTGTCACTAGAGTCTGGACCTGGCATTTGGTGCAATTTACTTTCAATTTTCATATTCTGGTAAATCAATACAACAGCATAGACTAAGAAAATAGGGAACGTCAAAGAACGTTTTGGCCAGAGAACTTGTGCGTGCCATTTGTGGAAATCTTGAAATACATGTCTTTCAATTGAACACTTTTCCCCTGTGACCGTGTGCGTGTTTATAATATTTAGATTTGTGCAGACATACACTACATGTGCATGTGTATTGTACTTGCATCGGGACCTGTGCATGCAGCTTTAATAGAATGGGTTGATGTCCATGTTTGTGTGCTATAAATCCGGTATACTGATACTGTGGTGTGCTCCCTGTGTGTATGTCTGTGTGTAGGTGGGGTGAAGCCTTGTTCTCTCAACTGTCTGGCAGAAGGATACAACTTCTACACGGAGCGTGCTCCAGCCGTGGTGGACGGCACGCCTTGCCGAGACGACTCTTTGGATGTGTGTGTAAATGGAGAGTGTAAGGTGAGATAAGGCTTTTCCGTGTGTGTTTGTAAGTCTTCATGTAAGCGTTTAATTGAAATAAATTAGAGCCATTAGACATCTGCATATGAGCAGACAGTTGAAGCTGAAGCAGCAGAATAGAGGATCAACAAACGAATGAGATAATGTTGTTTATACTCGCTCTCCAAACCCTGGATTGCCGCCACTGTGTTGTCTAAACAATGACTGCGGACGATCATCATAATCAGCTGCTTAACTGAGAAATTGTTTTAACTTTGGCAGTGATCTCCCATTCCCATCAACCAATGCTCTCTCTTAATCTCGGCTGTTAATGAAAACAAAACATCTAGCTGCTCATCTTAAAGTGAAGACCACCTAGAGGCCCAAAAGGTTCCTGGAACCCGTTTTGGCAGCCTCATGGTCCATTTGTTAAGGGATGTAGACCAAATGAATGGTAATAGCGTGCAGCTAAAATTGATCCACTTGTTGTTTATTGTGGATGTAGCATTTTCCAAAAGTTGAATCTTTCGATGGAAAAGGAAAAAATGTGAGGACAGAAGAAAGAAAAAAATCCTGATTTCCAGCGTGTTGTCTTGTGGTTGTCCGAGTGCCAACACAAATAGTTTTCACCTCCCTTTGTCCTGGCTCTTACCCCCCATGATCTGGCTTATTGACGGGTCTCAAAGGTTATGTAAGGGAGGCTGAACTCATCCAAGAGGAGAGTTTTGTTTATCAACATCTCCTCTCTGTTCTCTCCTCCTGCACCGATCTCTCTGATTTCCCCCATGCTTTGCTCTGTTCTGATCTGAAAGAACTCAGTGACCCTCCTGCTCAGCTATTAGTCTGTCTGCACTGCAGGCACGCTTTATTCACTGCAGTTGTTCTCTTTCTCTTTTTCTCTTCTCCTTTCTGACTCTCTTCATCCATTCCTACCCCTGTTTTAGTTTACTCCACTTTTCTTCTGACTTATTCCACTCGGTCATACTTCCCATTATTCTTCTCCATCATGTCATCTGTCATATGTTTTATATACACATTTTAAATGACAATCTAACTTAAAAAACACTAAGGATAAATATCTTCTTTTTGGTTTCAGTTTTCTGATTGCGGTCTGACAATGATAAGACTGTAGAAACAGAATGAAGTGTTGGAGATAGGAAAAGGACCCGAGAACAGATCTAGTTGTACAAAATCTGCTGCTGCAGACGAAAGGCACATGAGTCAGAGCACCTTTTCTCTTGGACAAAATATACAGGGCCAGATTTACTACATGTATGATAATGGTGTTCTGCTAACATGTGGCACAGCTTTCAGTTGACTCCTGGACTGCACCTGTTGTTATAAGGCTTCGAGAGACGAGTGAAGTAGAGCTCTTAAGTTAAGAGGTGGGATTTGTTTTATGGTCATTTGTATTAAAGAAGGGGAAAAAATGCACATAAATATAAATGAGCACCTATTAACCGTGCTCGGTATTTTGTCAAAAAACCTCATTAAAAAACTCTGTTTGCTTTCAAAGTATTTACTTTGTATAACTCTCTATAAACATATTTAGCATATATCTGATATGAATCAAAAAGATGGTTCTAGTATGCAGTAAATGCCAAACCAAATGCAAAGTTAAATATATGCTAACATTTTAGGTGGAGTCTGTAGTGACTTTACACTTTAGTTTAATGAATACAAACCACAACATCCCTACACTTTTTGTTCATTAATTGTGGTGTGGAAGTTCATTTTTTAAAGCATATATTTCAGCATCACAAAAACCCATATATATAAGCCTTCTAATAGTCTAGAGACCTTTATGTTTAAAAACGTCTTTCTACCAACAATAAAAAGCCACCAGCCGATACCCATGAGTTGAATCTCAGTTTCAACCCTGGCTTTAGTTTTGAAATGTGATCTAATCAGTGTAAAAGTAATAATAAACATAAGTCTCATTATCCCTCTCTACAATAAACAACTGCCATATGAATATATGAGTGTGAGCGCTGTTACCATTCATTGTCTACCCTTTTGTTTAGGTTTGGTTCCCTGTTAAAGAGTTTGAGTGAAACCACCTGCTTCACTCATCATGAAACTTATTTATGTCGACAGCTATGAGTTTAGCAACCTCAGAGCATTAAGTCTACACAGGATCAAAAAACACATCTGGTCTTACCATCTGATAATTCTGTGTTTTGGAAAAGTGGTCTTGAAGACATTAGAGGTAATCCCTCAGCCCGGCCCCCGACACCTCTCCACTTACTGACTGTGCCCCATGACCCTGACTGACCCTTTAGCTCACTTGTTTCTCCCTTCTTGCAGCACGTAGGCTGTGATCGAGTCCTCGGCTCGGACGTGCGCGAGGATCGCTGCCGGATCTGCGGAGGGGACGGCAGCAGCTGTGACTCTGTGGAGGGACTCTTCAACGACTCGCTGCCCGAAGGAGGTACAGAACTCAAACACTCAAGCACCAGCCAACTCATACATTTTTTAAAATGCTGCCACGGAGATTTCTGCACATATAGATTAAGATGATTTCATGGCCGAGGGAAGATTTGATAAATATTGAAATACCTCTGCTCCTGAGATTCAGATTAAATGAACGGGATGCATTTACCGTGAGAAGTTATTCATTCTATTCGTTTTGTGCACAATCAACATTTGGATTTGAATGCTCTGGACTGTAAATGCATCTTGGAAAGCTGCCTTGCCATGTGAGTTAGGATACCCCAGACATTGAAAGTGTATCACATACAGTGGGGCAAAAAAGTATTTAGTCAGCCACCAATTGTGCAAGTTCTCCCACTTAAAAAGATGAGAGGCCTGTAATTTTCATCCTAGGTATACCTCAACTATGAGAGACAAAATAAGAAAAAAAATCCAGAAAATCACATTGTCTGATTTTTAAAGAATTTATTTGCAAATTATGGTGGAAAATAAGTATTTGGTCAATAACAAAAGTTCATCTCAATACTTTGTTATATACCCTTTGTTGGCAATGACAGAGGTCAAACGTTTTCTGTAAGTCTTCACAAGGTTTTCACACACTGTTGCTGGTATTTTGGCCCATTCCTCCATGCAGATCTCCTCTAGAGCAGTGATGTTTTGGGGCTGTCGCTGGGCAACACGGACTTTCAACTCCCTCCAAAGATTTTCTATGGGGTTGAGATCTGGAGACTGGCTAGGCCACTCCAGGACCTTGAAATGCTTCTTACGAAGCCACTCCTTCGTTGCCCGGGCGGTGTGTTTGGGATCATTGTCATGCTGAAAGACCCAGCCACGTTTCATCTTCAATGCCCTTGCTGATGAAAGGAGGTTGTCACTCAAAATCTCACGATACATGGCCCCATTCATTATTTCCTTTACACGGATCAGTTGTCCTGGTCCCTTTGCAGAAAAACAGCCCCAAAGCATGATGTTCCCACCCCCATGTTTCACAGTAGGTATGATGTTCTTTGGATGCAACTCAGCATTCTTTCTCCTCCAAACACGTCTAGTTGAGTTTTTACCAAAAAGTTCTATTTTGGTTTCATCTGACCATATGCAGTGTTGTGCTAGTTACTGAAAACCAGTAACTAGTTACCATTACTAGTTACTTCATTTCAAAAGTAACTCAGTTACTTTACTGATTACTTACACCAAAAAGTAATGCGTTACTGTGAAAAGTAATGTTTTAGTTACTTAAAAAAAGGGCTCCCATTAATGCCCTTATAGCCTTCATTTCAGTACTGTTATTGCATTGGAGAATAATACAATCTGTTGATCAACTTGACATGCATTATATGCAATCTGGATTGCATCGATATTAGCTGGCTTTCCATTTTTGTATATTCTTTCTCCAGGTAGTTGGAAAAAGTGTTCCGTCCCATATGCCGTGTGCCGCCCGGACATGCTATCTTGCTAACTATCTCCCTGAAAGCGGGTGACTCCACTGTAGCAATAGCCTGCATGTGTTCTACAACATACCGTGCAATGGCTTTATCGACTTTTCCCTGGCTAGCAGTCCCTTGGTTAAAATCCAGCCGCTGTTGCTTAGGTGGAGGTGGAGTGGCGTCGGCTGAGTCTGGGTCTGTGCCGGTCTTAGTTACTAGCTTCGTCCCAGCATGTTGTTTTTGCAGATGTTTTAAGAGATTTGAATGACTGGTTTGGGCAGTAGATAGGCTCTTTGACCCGCCAGGACATAACTTACATTTAACAGAAACTTTCTTTTCTTTGTGCTCAACAAAAGTGAAATAGTGAGAATATCTCCAGGTGGAGAAACTAGACTTGAGCTCCGCCGCCGCCATGATAGTCTTGTTAGTAAACAACACAAACACGCCCACAGCCCGTCTCCGCATGTGACACAGGAAGTATCTAAGTACATTTACTCAAGTACTGTACTTAAGTACAGTTCTCATCTCTGTTCGCCTGGCTGTTGACTATATAAAAAAACTAACGCAGTAACGGAGTAACGCACCATGTAGTAACGGTAACTGAGTTACTGAATTTAAAAAGTAATGCGTTAGAGTACTAGTTACTACCAAAAATAACGACGTTACAGTAACGCGTTACTTTGTGACGCGTTAGTCTCAACACTGACCATATGACATTCTCCCAATCCTCTTCTGGATCATCTAAATGCTCTCTAGCAAACTTCAGACGGGCCTGGACATGTACTGGCTTAAGCAGGGGGACACGTCTGGCACTGCAGGATTTGAGTCCCTGGCGGCGTAGTGTGTTACTGATGGTAGCCTTTGTTACTTTGGTCCCAGCTCTCTGCAGGTCATTGACTAGGTCCCCCTGTGTGGTTCTGGGATTTTTGCTCACCGTTCTTGTGATCATTTTGACCCCACGGGGTGAGATCTTGCGTGGAGCCCCAGATCGAGGGAGATTATCAGTGGTCTTGTATGTCTTCCATTTTCTAATAATTGCTCCCACAGTTGATTTATTCACACAAAGCTGCTTACCTATTGCAGATTCAGTCTTCCCAGCCTGGTGCAGGTCTACAATTTTGTTTCTGGTGTCCTTTAACAGCTCTTTGGTCTTGGCCATAGTGGAGTTTGGAGTGTGACTGTTTGAGGTTGTGGACAGGTGTCTTTTATACTGATAACGAGTTCAAACAAGTGCCATTAATACAGTTAACGAGTGGAGGACAGAGGAGGACAGAGGAGGCTCTTAAAGAAGAAGTTACAGGTCTGTGAGAGCCAGAAATCTTGTTTGTTTGTAGGTGACCAAATGAATGAGGAATTTACCAATTAATTCATTAAAAATCCTACGATGTGATTTCCTGGATTCTTTCCCCCCATTCTGTCTCTCATAGTTGAAGTGTACCTATATGAAAATTACAGGCCTCTCTCATCTTTTTAAGTGGGATAACTTGGTGACTGACAAAATACTTTTTTGCCCCACTGTAATTGTCTGTTCACATGCAACCTCTGTCCACAGCAGCATACTGTTACAGCCATGCGTTAGATGAACGCTACAAAGCTGCAGGAGAATCATTTGTTTCAGCACCTGCTCTGCTAGGAGATCAATTATGTGTATATCCGACCATTTACAGTTGACGCAGCCCAGGCTTAAAGTTGGCATTACAGATAATAACAATCGCTAGTCTTATCCATCTTTGTGTACATTAGTTTCTTCATGACATTTCTTATTATTGTGTTACATAATAACCAACGACTATAAATTGCTCTATAGTAGTTGTTAGTTCAACTGTCTCATTGTCTGTAAATATAGACTTAGAATAGGGTTGACAGGAAGATATAATTGTATATTATCTGCATATAAACAATGTAATACGTCCACCAATGACATGACCAATGGTAATCTTATACAAAGAGAAAGATAAAGGGCCCTGAATTCTTACAAAAACATGTCCGTCAAAAATATAAACCATTAAAGAGCCAAGTTGCTTATCAGTGCATGGTTATAGAGTCAATTGAATACATTGTTGTACAATTAAGTGGCAAAACAGCTCTAAGGTCAATCAGGGTTACGATTTAAGTAAAGGCCAGCATGGGTTACTAAGTAGAATTTGACAAAATAAATTCGGAGAAGTAAAAATACTCCCTGAAAAACTCTTAACCCATAAATATACGCATATACAATACCATACGCTGTATTTGCATACATATATTTATCCAGCAGCTACCCAGGGACACGTGGCAGGCAGATTTAGGTGAGGTCGGACCAGTGTGGCTTGAGGTCCAGCTGCTTTTGGATCTATTCTGGGTTTCATTTCTCCCCGCAACACCGACTTCAGAGTTTCTCACCCAACTGTCAACTCACCCCCTTCCAGGATTCCTCGGAAGGGACGCACCCTGAGCCGGCAGCTGTGCTCTGCACCGCAGTGGTCAGGCCAGCCGGTCAACCCCAGCTGAGGTCGCAACTATGTGCCAAATATCTGACATTACTGTTACCCTTAAAAAAAATCCATTAGGAGAGCTGAAGTCAAAGTGTAGGTTGCTGAGTCACGTGTTTCATGATCTGGGGATAGTATTTACGGTCAGTGTTTTTATTAAAGGGAGTTTTACAGGTTTACCTGTATTCCTCGTGTCAATTACACTGATGTCCTAAAACAGTGAAGTGCTCCTTTAATCAGCTGCAGTCCCAGCATGCATTGCAGTTGTTGCCACCAGTGCAAACTTAAAGCAAAAGCGCCAAATATAGATTTAAGGTTTTTTTAACAAAGACAATATGCATCTGTTTGGTTTTGCGAGTCTTGGTTCATTCCAAAACAATGGTTATTAATGTGCTGCTATAACAGCTTCTGGGACGGCTTTCCCCTCAAGATTTTGAAACCTGGCTGCTGGGATTTTCTCCCCTTGAGTTGCAAAAGCATCAGTGATGTCCACAGTGGTGTTAGGCAATGAGGCCTGGCTTTCATTTATCCCAAAGGTGTTAGCTGATGTTGAAGTCAGGGTCCAAGCTGAAAAGATAGTAGTGTCTATAGGTTTGGCCATCTAATTACAATGTTTGCCAATACAAACTTAAGTAAAAAGAGGTCACTTAAGTTTACATTTGACTAACCTGTCAGAAGTCCTAAAAGTAGGGACTTGGTCACAACTTCCGTACAGCTTGTTTTCATCTCAAGGCAAACTGAAACTCCAGAGCCAGTCAAACATCTCTGGAGGTTTATTCTGGATACAGAAAGATTTCTGAATCACTTAGTCATGTCTATAACAAGCTTTTGATTACGCTGAACTCCCAAAGCCTTTAGCCAATGCTTCTCCTCTCTGCTCAAGGCATTTCAATGTGGTCTGGGATTAAGCCATTGAACCTACACTTTAAAATGGAGGGAAAAGGACATAAATGACTTTTTTGATAGACAATGCAATATTTAGTCTATTCTCTGTGCTCTTGGCTCCAATCCAACAATGTCTCTTAAAAACTATTTCCATCTGTCCAGCCTGTGTCTCTGGTAGGCAGTAAAGTGTACCACACAGGTTCCCAATTATTAACAGATCAAACCTTTCTCACACTTTTGCTCTCCCAGTCTTTGTGGCCATCAAACTCCAAATCTGTTGCTCTAACCTTTGTCGCCTCCATCCAGAAACCCAGAGCAGGGTCAATCCGACCTGCAGAGCTCCATAGGGAGGTCACAAGCCAAACCTCTCCTTTTGTGGTCACAGCTTTGGAAGGAATCATTGAATTCGTTTTTATTATTTTTGTGTGCCTACAGTTATTTACAGGGCTGCACTGACTGTAAAAGGTTGGTTTTCTCTGCAGAGGTGAGATGAGCGTAAAAAGAAAAAGGACAAGAGACTAAACCAGATGGCAGGACGAGATGAAGAGGGGAGAAGCCGGCTCTTGGCTCGGTTCTTTCTCTAGCAGAGAGCCGAGCTGAGGCCGGCTGCCCAGGAATGCAGCTGGAATCTGAAGCCTCTGCTTAGTCCATTGGCGTCCCGCAGAGCTTAAAACTGCTTATGCATTGTTATCCCCTTCTTTAGCTTTTTGACTTTGTGTGTCTCAGGTTATGAAGAAGTGGTCAGAATTCCTAAAGGCTCAGTGTTCATCCACATACAAGAGCTCAACATCTCCCTCAACTACCTTGGTAAGATTATATTCAAGCTTATGTTTAGTGTTATTGCCTGTACATGTGATGAGTTAGAGAAATATACATAATATCTATGATAGAAAACTACAAAGCTGTTAAAATACTAAGCAAAGTACTTAATTTATCCAAAAGGAAATTGTTTTACAGCAGGTGAAATCCAAAGTTGTAAAGCATGCAAATAAACAGAATATAAGCAAAATAAAATGATGATAAAATGATCAGGAATCGTTATAGGTTTTTATCTGAATGTCTTAACTTTACTCTGAATACTCCTGCCTTCCTATCATTTATGTCTTCCTTCGTATTGTCCCTCTCCTCTGGTTCCCAGTGCTAAAGAGTAAAGGGGACCAGTACTTCATCAATGGGAAGCTGACCATTGACACGCCGCGTAGTTTTGATGTCGGCGGGACCATCTTCCACTACAGGCGGCCCACTGACGGACCAGAAACTCTTGAAGCTCTGGGGCCAACAAACATGACCCTGATTGTCATGGTAAGAATGGATCAAAATTCCGTGTTAACAAATTGGGATCTTGAAAAAGTTTAACCATCATGTATTTTAAACGTTTGAATGTTCAGGTGCTGGTGCGTGAGGAGAACCCGGGGGTCCACTATCGCTTCAACCCCCCGATGAACAGGGAACCTCTGACGGGCTTTGCCTGGCACTACACCTCCTGGTCCCGCTGCTCAGCCCTCTGCGCTGGAGGTACACACACACACACACACACACACACACACACACACACACACACACACACACACACACACACACACACACACACACACACACACACACACACACACACACACCACACACACACACACACACACACACACACACACACACACACACACACACACACACACACACACACACAGGATTAAACCCATTCATACTGTAAGTGTCCAATGTCACATAAAAGTTAAGGGTAAAAGGGCAAAAAAAGTAGAGTCCCTATTGAGGCATTTGGGCAGATCACCGACTCTGAGATTGGAGATATCACACATTGCTAATCTCCTTTTCCCTCACTGACCTTTTTTAGTTTACGAACTAATGTTCTCCTCTGAGAAGTAAATGGAATCCTAAAGGAGACAGCCTGTTAAATTGTGTCACTTTTTTATGAATGACAGTTTTACATCAACACTAAGGCAACACTGTCGATGGCAATAAACTGAGTGGAAGTAAGAGATAAAAAAATGCTGTTAGACCAGATTTTTTTTCACATTGTTTTCCATACTGAAGCTTTGCTAGCACTATCATAGATCTTGGATTACCCGGGCCTTTCCCACATAACTAATCTCAGCACTGTGGCAGGGTTCAAAACAACTAACATGGTGATGCTAACATATCCACTCACTTTATAATGCCTATGTGTGTCATGTTGTCGCAGGTGTGCAGACACAGCAGGTGGTGTGTAGGAAGCAGGCACATCATTCAGTCGTCTACAATCACTTCTGTGACAAGAAGATCAAACCTAAAGAGAGGAAAAGATCCTGCAACACTGAGCCATGCTCCCCATCGTGAGTAGTCTCCTGCTGATAAGACTTTCTTCATGTGAAATAGAAATACATATTTCTCAGGATTTGTTCAGAACTTTTTACCTGATAAAAGCATTTGAATATTTGTGTGATTGTTCAGGGTTCATTCTACAATCACTCTTTTGACGGTGAAATAACTCCTCATAAGACGCATATTTTATCTTAATTCAGGATTAGACTCCTTTTTTGTCAGATTTCCTTTAAGGTACTTAAAATGTTGTCTTTATTAAGTGTTAACCGTTCATAAACACGTATTTGTGTATTGTAATTGTATCAGTATCATGTCTTCACTATATTATGCAATGCAATAAGGAAAATGTAAACAAAAAGCTCCCTCTCTGCTGTAGCTGGTGGACAGGAGATTGGACGGAGTGCAGTCGCAGCTGTAACAGCGGCCTGCGTACCCGGGAGGTGTTCTGTAAAAGGCGGCTCTCTGTGACGGAGGAGAAGGTCCTGGACGACTCCGCCTGTGCGACGCCGCGGCCTCCTCTCACTGAGCCCTGCAGCAACCACAGCTGCCCCCCAGAGTGGCTGGCCCTGGACTGGTCAGAGGTAACAGGCATTCAATCTTACATGTTTTAGTAGCATTTAAATCTTTCTCTTATATGAAGTTTGTCCAGTTGAAACCTTAGAAACGTAGACATCAGCGCAAGAGAGTAAAGCCATGCAATATGCAACAGAATCGCAGAGCAGACCACAACATTACAGTTGTTGCATTCTTAAAAAACATAATATTGTTACATTTGTCATGTGGGGAATCCCTCACATGTTTTTAATGTTGAACCTTAGTTTTGGGGAGACAGTAGGAGTTTAAATATCTCTTTTATGCCTTTGCAGACTTGTAAAATATATTTTTAAGATCTGCTGGTTTCAGCTTTTATCTGGTGTTTGTGTAATTTAGCAATGACACACACAGAAAAGGAATTTGTCAGTGAACTTTCCAGGAACTGATCAGGCTCTTGACTTTGTTTCCAATAGAGCAGCTGCTCTCTTCTGAGTGGATTACAAAAGCTTCTTTCGCATGATTTTTGATTGCAATGACCCGCTGTTGCACCCTCCCATCGACTCCAAATCCCTGTCCCTTCATCAACCCCTCTGTTCACAGTGTACGCCCAGCTGTGGTCCTGGCTACAGGCACCGTGTGGTATTGTGTAAGAGCGGGGAGAGCGGAGACAACCTGCCAGAGTCCAAGTGCCCCAAACATGGCCGACCGACCTCCAGGGTGCGCTGTAACCTGCAGCGCTGCCCCCCCCCCTCACTGGGTGACCGGTCCCTGGGGAGAGGTAAGACAGGCTTTTGCTTCAGTCTTTTTAATATTCAGTATTTTGTAGTATTTTGACTTAAAGATGATCCCCAATGTGTTAGTGTTCTGCCAGGTGTGGTCTGGGTCAGGAGAAACGCATGGTGCAGTGTCTGACTCCCACCGGCCAGCCGTCCAATGAGTGTCTGGAACATCAGCGGCCCGCAGCCATGCAGCAGTGCAAGAGCAAATGTGACCTCAATCTGGCCATCAGCACAGACAACCCTGAAGGTCAGAGGTCAAATCATCGCTGCTCTTCATGTGCCATAGAAAAAACATTATAGAAAGATTTACTGCTAAAATTAAAAATATAGTTTTTAATTTTTTTATTTTAAAGGTCTCCTATAATGCACTTCTCTATGTCTTGTATACATAAATACGTGTCCCCGGTGTGTCAGGTAACTCACTAAGTGTCAGAAAACAAAACCCTCTCTCTTTTCCTCCGTACCCACATCTTAAAAAACGGGGGTACAGAATGTTTCAGAAATAATCCTTAATGTGTTTTTGAACATGATATGGCGATTAATCACGGCAGCATTTAGCATTTAGAGTTTCTGGGTAGAATTCTCCTGATCAGATACTCAGCATAATTGTTTTTCTTTTATTAAAGCTTTAGACCCAGAAACAGCATTTCAATCAGGAGAGATGTGATGCAGTAGCGTAGGCAGAAATGTACTTTAGGGTGGGCCTGTAAAAAATAGGGTGGGCCAGATTTTTCTTCTGCGCATCAGAAGCTAACAACAATCCCCGCTGGTACCGGTGGCAGATTACTTTTAGAATACTTTTGGAATACTTTCTTTTTCCATAACAGATGGGTATGTTTTGGTGAACAGGAGACACGTATTTTACTGTTTTAATGGCTTATCAAGAGCACAAACACAACATCTTGGTGTCATTCTGGACAGCTCTCTCATCTGCACCCCACATAAAAAACATCACCCGGACTGCATTCTTTGTACTGTCTTAAAACCTTTCCTTAGAATATGTTATGAATTGTAAGGTGTCCTTGGGTGCTTTGAAAGGCGCCCCTAAATAGAATGAATTATCATTATTATGTATTATTATTATCTGAAACGATGTAATAACTTTTAAAACTGTTTCCAGTCACTTGCCCCATGCATTCAGCAGCAGCAGGCCATTCACTTTGATTTGATCCCGTTATAAATGTCATCATTTCGACAATAAAGAAATGCTACATAAACGTTATCTTGCACATTTTATCTAACCATCTCCGTTTCTAACTTTCAATATATTTTAAAAGAGATCTCTCTCTCTCATCTGCGTGCGGGGGCGGGGCCTCACAGACATGCTGCAGCGCCGTGCAGTGTGCACACAGTTCTGCTAGTAATGAATATTACATTTTGTGAGGAAACTTTTCCTCCAATAAGTATTCCAAAATGTATTCACTTCAGGTTTACGAAAGTAACTGTAATCAGATTACTCGTTTTTCAAATGTAACGCCAGCTGAATACACTTGATTTTTGTATTCTGATTACGTAACACCGTTACATGTATTCCGTTACAACCCAACCCTGTGTATATCTCTCCAGCAGATGAAAAACACCCACCTCTCCGCCTCTTCCAAGGGACGAGGGAACCGTGCGGCAGAGTTTCCGTTAACATTTTCTTTCTTCTGACAGCCCAGCAGCAGGAGAGGGAGGCGGGGCTATTTCATCGTTATCAGAAAATGATCGTATAGATCGCTGCTAGATGAGGGCAGTGGGGTATCTTCTTGGAGTCTGGCTTTTTTTTTTTTTTTTAAACCAAAGTTCATTAGTGAACTTTGAGCCATCATTTATTTTGCAGGCAGCTCTCTGCCTCTCTCACTTTATTATGGCGCGCGCCGGAACCAACGATCAGTTTTTACCGTAAATGAGTTCGGTTCAGAGGACAAAGCACATAGGTTCAGAGGACAAAGCACATACAACATTAATTAAACTCGATATTTGTTCACTTGAATTTCACTTTGAATGCTTGGATATTCTCAATGGGTGAATACATTTTTTTATAATAATAATAAAATAATTTTTAAATTTTTAAATGACACAAAAGCTTTCTCAGGGTGGGCCAATGAGTAAATTGGGTGGGCCTGGGCCCACCCTGGCCCTATGGTGGCTACGCCACTGACGTGATGTATGAAATACATGTTTATTACCGGGACACATAATATGAATGAAATAGTGATTGACAGATTATAACGAGTGAATGAAATGGTGTTTGGCGATTAGGCCCCGGTTTGCAGGATAATCATTCAGGAGGGGAAAAACCGCCCCGATGAAACCCCCCGGGGTCTAGACACTGGTGGTGGTGATAAGTAGTTCGGTCCGGTCTGAAGGGAGAAGGTTTTAGCTTGGCCCTGTATGAGGAGACAGGAGGCCAAGGGGTGGAGGAGGGTTGCACGTTGTCACCTGAAATGACAGCTGACGGAGAGGGAAGAGCAGATTTAAAGGGGTTAGCGGGTGCAATGATAGGCTTGTGAAAATGGGGTGAAGTGATTGGTTAGCTGGGGAGTGACGCCCCCGGTCACTTATTGAGAGAGCATTGAAATGACGTGTAACAGACATAGGATATTGGTCTTCCTGATTGAACTTGCGCTAAGCTTAATTTCTCTAACAGGGCTGGAACAGAGGGATATGAGGGATGTCTAAAATGCATGATCTGTTTGGTATTTTGAGCAAAACACATCATAGACATGTTTTTTATATATTTTATATCGGAGACTCATAATATATGCCTAACAATAGCATGATAGGAGATCTTTAAATTGTACATTTCTTATCACATTGAGCCTGATTCCATCAAGCACAAGATGTATAAGTCTGAACAATATAAGTGATAACATTCTTACATTTAATTCTTAATAATAAAATGTAATTTCCATGCATTAATTACTAACTGCTTCATGTTTGTCTTCCCCGCAGAGTGTAAAGATGTGAACACTGTGGCCTACTGCCCCCTGGTGCTCAGGTTCAAGTTCTGCAGCCGGCCATATTTCAGACAAATGTGCTGCAAGACGTGCCAGGGACACTGACCTGGACACAGCCTCCATTCTCTGGGCCCTGTACTCTCACAGTAGCCTGACCCCCTCCCACTGAGCCTTTTACAGCAGCCCTCACAACTGGGACGCTGTCGAGCGAACATCTAGTCCCGTTACTGTTAAAGAGGGACCTTTTCTTTCAGCCAGAATCCAGCACAAACCTCTCCGAGCCGAGCTGGGCCGAAACAGCCCTGGCTGAGTTTTACATTCCACTGGAGGGAGGGGGGGGGGGGGGGGCTGCTGAACCCCGCAGACAGAGAGACACAGAGAGAGAGAGAGAGAAAGAGAGTGAGAGAGTGAGTAACTTCCCTCCATCGTCTGTCTTTCTATGATCCCTCTGTTGTAATATTTTGGTGCTACTATATTTTTCTTTGGCCGCAGGCCTGGTCACCGTACTCTCTTAAAACCTGTATCTTAACAGGTGATTTTTGTTTTGTTACGAGTTTAAAAGAAATCCACTTTGTAAAGAACATGATTTTTCCTGATATCTTCCCTCATGAAAAAGAATATCTCGTGCTATAAAATGAAAGATCTGTTTCTATGTTATCATTACATAACAGTTGTTACCTGACCACATTGTTTAAATGCCATTGTTTAACGCCAGATCAACGTATTCATAAAGTCCTGGCTGTTATGTAGCTGAAGTATGAGCAGAGTTTGATTTGCAAAGTGTCAACAGTCAGAGGATTTGTGTGTTTTGTTTGTTTTAATTTGTATTTGTGAAAGCTATAGATGTGTCATTGCAGTGAACCAGCCGTAGTCTTGCCATTTTGAAAAGTTTGCTAAAAATGTTATCACCTATACAGTAAAACAGAGCTGCACGGGGCAAACAGTGACTCTACCTTCACTATTTGATGATGTGAGACAGGACATTTTCAGATTATAGGATGTTATTTTGTGGCTGCCGACTGTGGGGCTTGTGCAGTAACTTTTATTGTTAGTGCAATGTTCAGATCACAGTGAGACACCGTAGAATGAGCTCTGCCAGCAAGAACAGGCCCAGAGGGAGGAGTGAAGACATCTGACCGCACTTACTTTCAAACTGCATTTTATAGTATTAGTGCTAATTTGAGGATGGATTAATTCACCCGTAAAATATCAGATGTCTTTGTGGCACAGATATGATGAATTAAGGACTGTTTGAAACCATCATTTATGTCCCTATGAAAAGATTTCTGCCACATTAAAAAAAAAACTACAGCCATCTTAAATTAGGGTGATAATAGGTGATTTCGTTTGACCACATGGGGACAGCATAAGCAACATTGACATAGCAATTGTTATGTTAATAGGTGAACATGTTAGCCACCAGTTGCTTATTTCTGCCCACCAGACAAGTTTAAGACCAATATTGACTCTTTTTTTAGTTCTGTTTTAGGTCTCCAAATCCGGAGGGAAATATCTGACCCTTTAGCTGCTCAATGATCCACTATGTTCACAAGCTACTCACTTACTGCGTTTCTGCTGTTTAATGCTAAGATAAGACGTTCTCACTGGGGTTTTCTGAGCTTTTTCATTAAAAATAGTTACCTGCAGTAGAAACAAATATACAATGAATGAACCAAGTCAAGCAAGACAGCTAACTGTGAAAACTCAATCCAAAGCTTTTTAAAGAAACCATTATCATCCTCATTTCATATATTGAAAGAAATCAGTTATAACTGATTTATCGAATTACACTAACTGTATGAGCTGGATGCTAAAATATTAAAAGGAAACCTGTCAGCTTGTCCTTCTAAAGATAGTATTGTGACCATTGCACCCTAAAGGTCACTGTTTTACTGCTGTTCTAAAGGAAACTAATCACCTGACCCACATTTTTGCTGCCCTAATCTTAATGACGTATTTTTTTTTTTTTAATGCAGTTTCAGCTGTTTCTTTATCCTTAAAACTGTCAGAAATGCTGTGTCATCACTGTGACGTCCACTGTGCTCTGAAAGCAGCTCTGTTTAACACATGTCTCATCATTTCATTATAGAATCTACAGTTTGTCTTTGAGGATTTGCTGCGATGCTGTTCCTTTCCTTTTTTCTTGTGGTGCTTTGGTTTGGATTGGTGCTATAAGTTCACTGTTGTTGTCGTTTCTATCATTTTAACAATTGTGCTTTTAAATGTTTTTGTAATAATACCAATATTCAGAGTTGTAATAGGTGGGTACCACATTTGGCTTTTTTGTTCATTGGTGTCGGAATATAAAAGTTTAATTTACACTCCCTGACTTTGTTAAAGTGGCCAGTAATGCCTCAAAATCTCCAAATGTAGCTCACCTTGCAGATCATAAACTTATTTCAAATACTGTAACAATTTCTAAAGGGCCACTGTACAAGATATTGGCATTCCCAAGCTCTTAACAATTTGAGCCTTATAATAAAACCTATTTTGGCAGCATTTAAAAAAACATTTGGTTTCTCAGATTGTCCCCCCCCATAAATATTTGGTTCAGGAATGAACATAACCCGTTTGTAGCGATTTCTGTTGCTACCTGTGCCTAATATGAAGGTTCACACTGAGAAACGAGCCTGTTTTATCCGAGTTAATAAGAGGGACAATACCGGTATTTGTTGTTTTGTTTTGTCACATGCTAATTATACCATGACATGTACTGTATGTTGTTGAATACTATAGGTTATGAATCCATTTGTCCTCCATGTACATCCTTTTAAAAGTAAATATTAAATTGATTAAACATGGTGCATTGTTCATTCAAAAAAAAAGAAGAAATGTGGTCATTTGATATTTCTGCCCTCAATGTACTTGTACTTAAATGGCACATTACAGCATCCAGACAGAGGTTGAGATCATCAGTGATCTATTTCTGGATCTGACAGACTTCATGGAAAAGATGAAGCAAGAACTTCTTCCTTTTGTCTGATGACACTGAGACATCCTCGTCCATCGGATGAAAAATAAAGGGGTGAGTTGATTTTGTGTGTGTAACATATACTGCATGTGAACACGTGTGTCCCTGTAAAGTGTTTTAGATGTATGCTGTCTTCTATCCTCATTGAGTATGAAAACAATATCGAAAAGACAAAAAATGTAAACAAAAGATACTTGAGGACCAAAGACGCAAAAAAAACTACAAGATATAAAAACGAACAACCTCGGACAGATGCAAAAAGCCTACAATTGAATCGTGTGTGTGTGTGTGTGTGTGTGTGTGTGTGTGTGTGTGTGTGTGTGTGTGTGTGTGTGTGTGTATGAGTGTGTGTGTGTGTGTGTGTGTGTGTGTGTGTGTGTGTGTGTGTGTGTGTGTGTGTGTGTGTGTGTGTGTGTGTGTGTGTGTGTGTGTGTGTGTGTGTGTGTGTGTGTGTGTGTGTGTGTGTGTGTGTGTGTGTGTGTGTGTGTGTGTGTGTGTGTGTGTGTGTGTGTGTGTACAGTAGTGGGAGTTAGAAATAGCTATTCATTGATATATATGGTTTTCATTTATAACTCTAAATAAAAAAAACATCTAACTATTAATAATGTACAGTTTATTATAATGAAGAAACAGTTCTTAAAATGCGTATTTTTCCAAATATGGTCTGCCATTCAAGAGTCTCTCTCTCCCCTCCCTGAGTAAGACCAGATCCACATCGATCTACAGAAGTAAATTGTAATCCCTGTACATTTTGCTGTATGATGTCCTTTTGTTGTTCTGTTGTTTATGTCTTCTTGTGGAACCTACTGCTGCAGGTCTCCCTTGAAAAAGAGACCATTGATCTCAATGGGATTTTACCTGGATAAATAAAGGTTTTGAATTGAATTGAATTGAAGGAGTTGCACTCCCACACAAAAACATTCTCAGGCAAAAAGACATACAAAAATGTGAAAACCACATAGTTGACACCACCTCACACACACACACACACACACACACACACACACACACACACACACACACACACACACACGTTTAAAACACACACACTCCTGTCAGCACGGTGCACTTTCCACCTCTGGGTGAAGCTGCTTTATGATGGGCGTTGGAAGCAGCAGCCTGTGTCTGAAGACACAATCACAACATGAAGAAACCACAGCCTGGGTGGAGCCGGCAGCTCACAACTGAAACACCATCATTTGGCAACAGATAATTATCACTTTAGGTTTGTTGATACCATCCACCATCGGCTGCTGCTGGCCAGACGAATTAGAGCTACTAATTGTTTTACCTTCAGACCTGCTGAAACAGACACAGTGAGGTCGTTGTTTTATGTTGCTCAAATGACTTTATACAAAATAAAATAGAAATACAGAAGTAGCTGCTTCAGTGTGTGTGAGTGTGCAGTTCTTGTTTCACACACTGCATCTGTGGGAGTATGAGGAAGTAACTGTTTGATTCTTGCAGTGGATGTTTTGCAGGTCGCAGGCTGCTGTTGGCTCGGACCGTCTGCCTGCCTGTGGAGGCTGCAGTCTGAGGAGCTCAACCTGTGGATTATAACCACAGACGCACAAACTCTCAACGTTGGACACCTGAGGAGGAGAGGAGGCCCGCTGGAACAATGGTACGGTACCACACCTTCATTCATTTACTTTGTCACACACACACACACACACACACACACACACACACACACACACACACACACACACACACACACACACACACACCTATAGGGAGCTGTATTATGTGTGTACGCTACAATAACCAGAACCAGTTAAGATAACATACATATATCATTTCAAAAGGCGAAGACGATTTTTTAAGTCTGTTTTCTGGCTATTAAAATGACAACAGCTCACAGTTACCTGCATTTCATACATCACTTTATATCTGACAAGACATAAGAGGGTATTTCACGCTCTAAGTTCAGTTGTGATATGATAAAGGATATGATAGTGTGTCTTAAAAGGTAATCTCTTCAGAGAAACATCAGCAGCAGAGTGAGTTTCCTCTTTTCCCCTTTCCTTTAAAACAAAAGGCAGCTCAAATAGATAGAGAAATAGCTTATCATTTGTTATCAAGAACCAATTTCCTTTCCACAGTAGGTGCATATAAAGCAAGACACACATCTAAAAGATACTAAATCAAATTTAAGATTTAAAATAATGTTGATTTTGACTCATTTCATTAGGAGCTATACAGAGAGGAAGTCCACAGAACATGTAGGTGTTTGTGTTAAAGTTTTGAGAGAAAAATTACAATATACAGTGGAGTTATCGAGCTGTACTGTAATCTCGGTTTAGTAGATTTAGCTCACAGGGTGTTGCAAACAGCTTTGGCAGCCCCTCCTGTGAGCAGCAGGCCGTTGCAGGAAGAGAACCAGTAGCATGTACAAAGTTTGTCGAGTTTCACAAGAGGCAGAGATGAGGTGTGAGAGGAGGAAGTGGACTACAGGAGATGCCTGCAGTTTCTGTCACAACACTTCCTTCTGACACACAGAGCGGACCTCAGACATCATAACTCACACAGCTCTATTGCTAAGGTCATGACATGCTGCCAACTGTCTTTAAAATCTCTTAAATTAATCTCAATGAGTAGTTTCAAAAGTGAAAATGTAGAGATGAGTTTAACTTCCTGTGTTTTCTCTCCAACCTTTACCACCTTCATGTTTTAAATTATTATCCTTTCAAAATAAGAGTCATAATTAAATGCAGGTGCATAGAGCTGAGGAAGCCACATGTAATTACATCTGCTGCCAGGAAGTATGACAGGTGTTAAAGGGTCAGCTCGTACGGCAATTTTGTATGACTATGCAGAAAGTTCCTGTTTGTTGCGGCGAGGTTTTTGAGATCAGGGCTGGTGTATCTTCTGCCATTCACCACAAAAAGACAAAGTTGACTGACGTTTTGTCTGTGGTTCTCAATGCATAAGAATGTTGCCTCTCAACTCCACAGCTCTCTAGAAACGGTCCAATATCTAAAAAGCAGAAAAAGGTTTCTCAATGGAAACTTGTCACAGTGACGTCAGTGGTTCTTCGCAAATGTCAGAAAAACGATACATCTTCCGCCCGCCAGCTACACACCTGTTCAATTTGGTGTATGCATCTTGTATGGTAGTGGTGGTGGGGACAACAACTGTACACAGACAGAAAAATAAACACCTGACTAACAACTAAAAACCTCTTCTGTGTTAGTTCCTACTGTCGGTGTCTTGAGGCGCACATTTTGCCATGATGACAAACACACAGACTTGCAAAGTGAAACAATACAAGCGTTGATGTAGTGGCTGGTAATTATCCACAATTCACACTGGCTATGTGAGACGTTGACACATGAGTATATCTTGAGTTTTTCCCATATACACTGATTGATAGCATTTCTGCTTTTGGTTGTATTTAGATGAACACTCATGACTTCCGTCTGAATTTCCCTCGAGGATGTTTAAATTATAGAAATAAAAAACCCTCTTTAGTAAGCTAAAGCTTTCTCTGACATATTTAGTATCTTAAAACCTCCATGTTTGCACAACTTTGTACCAACATTTCATATTTAGGATTTCTTCTTTTGTATGATAATTTCAGAAGTTAAAGTATTTTTATAGGCAGATGTGTGGGTTCATACTGTAAACTGTTCTTTAATTTTCTGTTAGTTATAAGAAATGAAGGAAAAGGAAGTGAACAAAAACGTATTTAGTGGGGTTATATAGTCATTTTAATCCTATTGCTGTGTCTGAATAAACACTAAAGAGAAGCAATTAGTTATGATTGGCAGCTCTGTCCTTTGTAATGTCACGTGACTGCCAGGCTGAGGTGCAACATTTGAAGGGTACCTGTATTAGTTTCCCTGTGATCAGTAATGTAGGTTGAAGCCGAGACCACAGCCCAACCATCATGCCAGAGACTAAACAGACTTCACACATCAAACAGCCCAACATCTTTAGGGAAAACCTAAACACAACAAGTCAACAGGAAACATGTCTGGGGAAGCCTGATCATAACAACACAACCATTATTAATCCTAGCCTGTCCTTGTGATCAGGTATTAATACATGTTAACATATAGTCAGACACATCACAAAGTTTGGCGGTGCTTCTTTAAAAATGTCCATCTTAGTTAGCTCACCTCATCTGTAACCTGTTGCTTGGCAACAAGCACCAGCTTCCTGTAATGGCAACCACAGTTTGTTACGTTTTTAAAAGCCACAAACACGTAATCATTAACCTTCTTTATTACAGACGTTAAAGTGCCCGCTCTGTTTCTGTCTGTTTGTCTACCTTTCTTTCTTTCTTTTTGTTTGTTCCTTATTTGTTTGTTTGTTTTTTGTTGTTCATGTGTTGTTTGCTTGTAAGTTCCTTTCTGTATTTTAATGTATTCTCTCTGTATTTCTTTATTTGATTTAGCTTGTTTCTGTTTTGTTTGTTCTAATTTGTTATTTATTTCATTTTCATTTCCTTTTTGTTTTGTTTTTTTACCTTTTTATTTTTTCCTTGGTTCCCTTTTTTCTTGTTATTTAAAGTTACTCCAACTTTAAGTAAGACATAGATTATAAAGCATATAATGTCTCAAGTAGGTCAAGCCCCGAAAAATAGTGGATTCACCCCAGCCTTTTCACTTTCTATAAAAACCATTGTCTCCAATCCCAAGCCAAGCTTTTTACAAACAATAGAAAGCTAAAAAATAAGAATGAATTCACAATGAAAGTGGCACCTCAACAACATGATGAACGTGTGTATCTCTTTCTCTGGTGTGTTTCAGGCGAAGTACCACTGGCAGAGTCAAAATGTGAAGCAAAGCGGCGTGGACGACATGGTGCTGCTATCCAAAATCACTGAGGACGCCATCGTGGACAACCTCAAGAA